ACCGAGCCACTCCAACCGAGCCACTTCAAGCACCTACCGACCGACCGAGCCACTCCAAGCACCTACAGACTGAGCCACTCCAAGAACCTACCGACCGAGGCACTCCAAGCACCTATACCGACCGAGGCACTCCAAGCACCTATACCGACCGAGGCACTCCAAGCACCTATACTGACCGAGGCACTCCAAGCACCTATACCCTACCTACCCTGTGAGCGTTCTGTGTGTGGTGAAGCAACATTTGGATCCAAGTGCAACGAGAAGCCCCCCGCCTACCCTGTTAAAAAAATAAAAAAATAATAATATTCTCGACTATTCGTTAACAAAAAAATAAAATTAATGCGCACTTCTTAGCTGCCGGAGTGCGGTTTTCGTGTGTGGTGAAGCATGAAGAGGATCCAAGTCCGAGTTGGAGGGGGGGGGCCCCGCAACTTGAAAAAAAAAAAACATATATTCCTCAGTATATATTGAAAAAAACAAAAACATGCACATGCACTTCTTAGCGGCCCGGTGTGGGTTTTATGTGTGGTAAAACAAGATATGGATCCAAGTGCAACGAGAAGCCTCCCGCGTACCTTATTAAAGGAAAAAAAATAATAATAATATTCTTGACTATTCGCTACCAGAAAAATAAAATTAATGCCCACTTCTTAGCTGTCGGAGTGCGGGTTTCGTGTATGGTGAAACATGAAGTGGATCCAAGTCCGAGTTGGGGCAACTTGAAAAGAAAAAAAACATATATACCTCAGTATATATTGAAAAAAACAAAAATATTCAAGTGCACTTCTTAGCGGCCCGGTGCGGGTTTTATGTGTGGTGAAACAACATATGGATCCAAGTGCAACGAGAAGCTCCCCGCGTACCCTATCAAAGAAAACAAAAAAATAATAATATTCTCGACTATTCGCTACCAAAAAAATAAAATTAATGTGCACTTCTTAGCTGCCGGAATGTGGGTTTCGTGTGTGGTGAAGCATGAAGTGGATCCAAATTCGAGTGGGACCCCCGCCCCCTGCAACTTGAAAAAAAAAAAAAACATATATTCCTCAGTACATATTGAAAAAAACAAAAACATTCACGTACACTTATTCGACTGTTTTTTTTTTTTTTTTGCATTTTTTTCTTACTCCTCTGTCTCTCTGTATCTGCATCTCTCCATCTCTCTCTTTTTCCTTTCTCCCTCTCTCTCTCCCTTTCTCTGTGTCTCTATCCATCTTCCATTTCTTGAATTCGTTAATTGTGCTCAAATTTTCCAGTTGGTTTTGATTAAACTTTTTTTTTTTTTTTTTTTTTTTTTTTCGGGCATTGACTGCACCACCCGCATCGCGGGCGCTTAGCTAGTGAATATTATTGTTGTTATTATTATTATTATTATTATTATTATTATTATTATTACTATTATTATTATTATTGTTATTATCATCATCATTATTGGTGTTTAATACCATTGTTTGACCGAGGTCGAAAATGATGAGGATGTGAGGCATTGGAGAGGAGAAGAAACATCATCGCATTTGTGATGGTGTATACCTCCTCCGTCTTTCTTCATTCTTATCATTTTCTCTCCAAAACCTATCTTTTCCGCTATAAATGTTTAATGGTGTGTTTTCTACTGAATTGTGTATGTTCTCTTTTGCTAATTATAAAAGTTCAGAAAATCATTGTATAAACCAAACATGACTAGTAGTAAGGTGATTGCAGGAGCTCCGCCGGAGTTCAGGAGGAGCTCTGGAGGCAGGGAACCATGAGGTACGCGTTACCTATTCCTTTCCCATATACCCTTACAGGCTACAACCATCTATTGGACGGCGTGTATGACTATATGACCTATTGTTTGTGTTTTCTTCAAGACTAAGCGTATCAAAGGGGAAAAGACTATATGACTGAAATGAGAATTCTGCTTGATGAAAGGAAGGAACCTAGTCTGCTTAGATTTGGAAAACAAAGTCGTGTGATGGAGGCTCCCGTGCATTCGTCACACTGCTTGCATGAACTTACTAAGGGGAATGAAGGGGTACTCTCATGCGGATTTACCCGACTAAGTAGGGATGTGATAAAAAGTCTGGTTGACGCCAACGTTGGTAAAAGGAACCTGTCCTCCGTTTTCCTTGTTACTTTACAGGCTCGACCTAAAAGGTAATTCGGTACTCCCATGGAGTGCATATCTTCAATGACTAATAAAAACGAAGGTAGTAAGAGGCTCCCGTGGGGCTCTCCTATCGCTGATCTGGCCAGACTTGGAAGAGAACTAAGTACTCACCGTGTGAGTATACGAACTCCTAAGTCTGGGACGATCTGTCCGACTTCCCGTGGGAATCGACATACCTTTTGCTCATTTACGATGCATAGGCAAGGTAGGTGAACGGTCATGACTACTTAAGTAAGAGTTGTTTTGACTGATCTCCTACGCATCGAACTCGTAGTAGGATATCTTCCGAGGAGTCATCCTAATATTTGTTTGATTTGGGGGTCAACTAACGGAGGGAAGGAATGAGGTGATTGTATTTAGACAGTAGAGGGATACTCCCGGGTGAGTAACCCTACTACTTGTTTGGGTATGACTGATGGATGATATGAATAAATGCTAACGATCTATCTATTTAACATTAAGCCAGGATATGAGAGATTTCCGTGGGGTCATCCTATTATTTCCTTGACTTCACCTTAACAAGTCGGGTAAAGATACTCCAGCGAAAGGCGGGCATGGTGTTTGCCTGAGTCCGCTGACATAATCCTAACTCGTTTGACTCTGAGAAAGTAGTAAAGTGACTCCCGTGGGGTCATCCTATTAATCTTTTGAGGAAAGACTGAGTTTTGATCAAGGAGTAATAGGAGGCTTCCATGAAGACCACCTATTATTAACTTGAATTTTGTATTGATACCTGGATCTGGAATGTTTCTGGACATTGGAACGAGTGTTGAGATGCTTCGACAAGGCCTATTCAACTACTTGTTGAAACTAATAAAGGGATACTCCCCTGTGAGTTATCCGGTCGCTTGCACAAGATTGCTTGAAATGCTTGATTGCATGAGGACTGTATGAACTTTGAAGAGTGGTTGAGTGCTCCCGTGGGGCTACTCGACTACTCCTTTGACTAACCGTTTTACCTGGAATTGATCAAGTGGAAGATTCCCGGGTGAATCAACCTACTACTTGCGTATGTTCGAACAAGAAGAAGAGAAAGGAAAAAGGAAGTGCTCCGGCGGGAGCGACTCTAAACGTCCTAAAAGAAGCAGAATAAAAGGTAAATACCGCAGAGACAAAGAATTAGAAAAGAAGAAGCTTCACGTAGCCTCAGTTCATTGATAAACTCCTAAGGGAGAAACCGCCACTGACATGAGTTGATCTCAGCTAGATTACCGCATAAGCACCAAAGGGTGTGCTTATCCGCAAAGAGAAAGAAATACAAGGACTGAGAGTAAGAGAAATGTGAGTTTCTCTAAAGATAACGTATGACATAGGCAAGTGACTCCTTGAACAAAAGGAGGAAGAGTGACATGTGACTTAGGGTGGGTAGAAGCTAAAGGGTTAGACTTTGGGAGGTTGATCCCTAAGCTCACAGACCAGATCTAAGGGGTTGACCCTTAAACATCAATATGAGGGAAATCGAGAGGGGGTGTTGAATCTTTGTTGACCTGTGTGTGTGCAGGTCTCTGTTTTGATCTACTGCAATTGAAGGAGAAGTTGTACATAAAGGGCTCAATTTTCTGTTATCTCTCGATAAAAGGTCGGTCGTTGCCGATTTAACTTTTCTCCCTTGACTTGATACCCACGTCTAAAGTCAAACCCTGTGGTGAGTAAAACTGTCCCCTGTGGTCATTGCCTAAATGATCCTAGTCACTCTCGAGGGTCCTTTGAAGAAATGTGAAGGGGGTTGGGCTTACGTCTCAAGAAAGATAAAGTTGCCATACATGGTTTGGGAAGTGAGGGACAATGTCTGAGGTGTGGATTGATGGTTGACGTCGTTAGTACATGGCATGTGGATTAACTTTGCATTATTCTGTGCAGGTATGTTTTTTTCGTGATCTTGGATTGAACTGGGTTTGACTTCGTGAAGAGTCTCGGACACATATCACTTGTGAAAGTGGGAAGGGTTTCCAGCGGTAATACCTCCATATTCATTATCAGTCCTATATAACTTCTATACTATCTGAATGTTCAATCATATGTCAAGTAGAATAGAATGCCCTAGGTAGTAACATGGTTTGATTGGTACTTTGATCATAGTGGTTAGAAGAAGAATATGTTTTGGGAGCAAAAGTGGAAATGGACGACCTTCTAAAAGTTCGACCTGAATATCTAGAAGTCTACGATAGGAAAATCACATCCTGAACCTGACTTGACTAACGGGTCAGTCTTAGGCGTCTTACCGCGCGTACCCCGTTTTGTGCTACAGCGATCGAGAAAACGCCCTCGGCCGACCTACCTCTACAAAGGCATGTAAAAACCTTCGCATGTGGGCCGATAGCTCAGCAGGGATACGCCTACCTGAGGGTGGTGACAGCCCCTCGGGTAGAGGTAAGATGTACCTCACGACGTCCCGACCTGTCGTAGGGCGTTGTGAGAGGTATAGCACGTGCGCATGATTGGAGTGGTGACTGGTTCTTTTCAAAACAAAACATCCTGCGTGACACGACTGTGAGGTTCAGCGCTCCTCATCGGGGCGCGGGACCGCCGCGCGCGACAGGTGGCGTTGTTGCCGGGAACCTTCGGTTGTCCGTCGGGGTCCTATGTGAACGGATCTGGGTTTGGTTAATTGAAGCCCTAGCAAAACGACAAATGAAAGATAGGGTAGTGTACAACCTCTATCTAGATGGTTAGGGGACTACTAAGGGTAATTATTGATTTATTGAGTTAAGCATTTGTCTAGGGTAGTTTCATGAGATAGGACAACTTGAAGTACAAGTTGAAGTATATAACCTACGGTACTTTACGAATATTAGTTTGTCCTTGTATCATTGCCCCCGAGGCAATAGTTAGTTCCGTATCTGTTTAAAAGGTGGCATATAGGGTAACAGTCAAGGATTGTGGTTCTTTTCGTAAGCGAAAATCGGTAGGAATAGTGGAGCCAATAGGCACAGTAGGAATCAACAAGTCTAGTTGAGTCTGCCTAAGACATTTTTACTACAATTTTTCCTTCAAATTATAACACATTTTCGTCCCTACGACGACTTCGCATACTTTCACTTCCAAAGTCTTCATTTAAAAATCCTTTAGCTAAGAAGCTCGCACTACATCATGAAAATTTGAGATCCTTTTGTAGAAGTGCACGTCTTTATACATAAGTTTTACCATTAAAGGTTAAACACCACTTTCTAGGTGCCTCATCCTTCCAATCATGTCGCGTGGGGCAGGAACTGGAAGGGGGAGAGGCGGTCGACAGGGAAAAACCACAGAAAAACTTATTGATTTGACAAGGGAAAGAGAGGAGCGGGAGGAATAAGAGAAGGAATAGGATAAATGGGGGAGATTAAGATTGTGCCGATATCAGGAAGATCTGCGCGACCAAACGCCGTCTCCAGGGAAAATGGCTTACTACTCCTATAAGTACGAACAACATTACGGCTTTTCGCCACCGCGCTTTGAGCCGCCTTCTCGTACTTATCCGATGTCGTATTATTCTCCTTCTTCTTCTATGGCATCGACTCCAACAGTTGATTGTCCTTTTCCAGCCACCTCGACCTGCTCTTTCACCTTCACCATAAGTGCCTGACCCTCCCATAGTGTCACAGGTTGTGCCAACAGATCATAAATTATGCATTACCCTGACACTTCTTTTCTTATGTCAGATTGAATTATACGGGCTATCTCATACCTGTTGTATAGAGGGATTATTTAAGGATGTGATCCTACCAATGCGAAGCAGGACCGGGGTTAGTGATAACTTAGTTTTTGTCAAGTTCATCAGACAAAAACACCCTCAAAGGATAGTAGATCCGGATGACTTAATACTTCTCTCCTTGTCAATGGCGGTACTCATAATGGAGGGGATATCTGTCTAAGAAGAGAAAAAAAATGGTGGTAACAGTTGTTGGCACATCCTCAGGGATAAGCAGTCTAGACATATTTGAGGCGATTTCAGTGGGTTTACACCCTTAATAGACACAAATTTTTCATAAGTAAAAGTACCAGTCCATTGGTCATAGCAAGGGAAAGGGAGGAGAGTTTTAGTAATATGCCAATGAGAAGAACACATGCCAGGGATGCAAGGAAGTCTGAACGTAGGTAGTGTCAATAGGAACCCTCATTTACTATAGGTTCTTAATACAAATTCAGTTTTAGGAAAAAGTCAACGTAGGCTGAGTACGTCATTGGAAAAAAATCTTAGAGGTTGGTTTCGTCTATAAGGGGCAGCCAAAGGTTCCTGATCTCGAGTGTAGTCAGTAAGGCGGTGAGGAGCTTTGTGTTAAATCATCCTATTTATGTGAAGTTTGGTGACAAGATTCAGGTATGAAGCTATCTGTTAGAACTCATCTAGTCCATGACCATCCACCTGAACATATCCGATTGAATTTCAGCGCTTAAGTTTCTTTCGTTTGAGGTCATTCAGTTGAGTTATCTATGAAAATTTATCTATCCGTGCCAGTTTATTCGAGTCGAGCGTATTTAATACTATTCATATGAGTCTATTTACCTTACGCATTTTTTTTTTCACGGTTACTCGCCTAAGTTACTCATCCTATAACTTATATAGTTGGATTGCTCTCCTTACAAAGAATAAAAGTGCTACGCAGAATCCACGTTCTACGCGGGATCGAAGGTGAATGGAGTGACTGACCTCTTGGGAGGAGAGATTCTCTGGAGAGGTAGTCAATGTGTAGAATCTGCTTTTGAGGGAGTTGCAATCCTAAGTTATCATTTCCCTGAAAAATGGATTGAAAGAGCTATAAATTCGTCTTCAGAAGTAGCAGTGAGACCCACGCCGGAACTATGTTTCTGGTCCATAGTGGGGTAGTGTCACCTAACCCTTTTGAGGAATGGTGACTACATTACTATTGAGAAGGAGGAAAGTATTTGAGCCTTGTTAGACTATGGTCTATGAAGGAGGCGACTACTACCTGCCGCAAAGAAGCAGGGGGTAATGCCCCAGCTATCTTTGTGTCAAGTGGGTTCATCTGCACGAGATGGGATATGGATCCTGGGACGTGTATGGTAAGGTTGTCAACTAATTGACAAATGTCTGCAAGGAACGAATATTGGAATCGGAGGGTGTAGCAGTGAGGCTTGGTCCTTGAGCGGGGCTCGGGAGTCTAAGATGTTAACCATTTTTTTAAAGGATTACACTGCCCCTTGACACAATATACTCATGTCAAAGCCCAGGGAGTAGAATGTAGTACTATTATTATTTTCGCATAAAAAATTATTCATCCTTTAAGAACTTGTTGACCATAGCATGACTGTTACTTATCATAAAAGTTATCATAAGTTTCTCGTCATCACTGTGCACGCATATACCGATTGAACTTGTCTCTTCGCTTGTTAATACTATTTATCTACTCAACTATTATGATTGTTAATTATTGTTATTACTATGATAGTATGTCTCTACTATAAGTAAGGGTTATTATGATAATTTATGACATCCAATATTCAAAAGTTGCAAATGCATTATTATAGCAGTATATTATCATCTGCCTTTTTGAATGGTCTTAGACGTTGGGAATGAGTGATGTTAGTATCATTTGAAGGATATTGTGAAAAAAAGAGATTCTATATAATGATGGGAGGTACTTGTGAAACGTTTGTCTGTGTGAGCAGGACTTAGGGATGACTAAGGAAGGTTAGAATGACATATGCTAAAAGAACGATCCCAATGCAGCCTTGCCTATTGAAAAAAAGGACGGGATGGAGTCGTCCTTGTCAAGGATAGTCAGGAAAAATGAATACCTCATTTCCTTGTAAGGTACATCTTCGAATGATGAAACCTGCTTGCGAGGCCAATAAGACTAGTTGAGGTAGCTGCCGCGAAGTGGGCAAAATGAATAAGTCAAAGAAGAGATGAGTCAGTATTCATTATTAGGAAGGTCAAGGATGCTAATAAGTTTGTGCTTCCGTTCTCCCCGTTACAAGTCGTTCTACCCAAATTTCTTGTGAAATAACATTTCAGGGGTCGAGAAAAAATATAAATGTCATTGGAGGCTGCTTTGGTAGTACGAGGATGAGTGACACTTTGATCTCTTTGTTTTAAGTTCTATGATAAGACTCTCACAATTTTCTTTCTTTAAATAAGATATTGTAATCTAGTAGTAAAAAATGAGGTATGATCCGTGATGTAATTATTATTTAATTCTTCCTTAGATGCAATATTGTACTTCAGTCAATAGGGTATCTGAGGTATCATGGAGTGTGTACTTCGTTCTTCTTATTTATTATGACTAGGAGGTTTTATTGTCTATTGTAAGTTTTTCTGACTCGATAGTTATACTTTAGCAATTAAGGATACTAGAGGCGTGTAACTTGAGATTTAGACTTCGAGAAGAAAGGTTGTTTAAAACCTCGTATTTTATATTTGACCAAGTTTTCTTTTTTCGAGAGTCATATTTCGATTTTATCTATGGGTTATACCGCCAATGAGCACTTTCACTTTCAAATTTGGGTTGGTCGAGTGTCTGATTTTGATTGGTGAGGTGTGTATCTTTTATGTATGTGCAAATTATGCTATCAAGTCTTGAACTAGGATGCTTAGGAAAGCACCTAGGTGTTCAAGAGAAAATAGAGTGACACGTA